TGAGCTGACACGGTTTATGTGGGGGGGGTGATGGAGCACACAGGAGTGTTTTGTGACTACTAAATAAAATTAATTAATTAATGGAGATATCCCATCTCCTAGAACTGGAAGGGACCTTGAAAGGTCATTGACTCCAGCCCCCTGCCTTCACTAGCAGGACCAAGTACTGATTTTGCCCCAGATCCCTAAGTGGCCCCCTCAAGGATTGAACTCACAACCCTGGGTTTAGCAAGCCAATGCTCAAACCACTGAGCTATGTTCTTTGCGTACAGCTGTCTGTCGGCACACCTTGTGCAGCATTGATATACATCGAAATACATCCCCATGGTCTCCTGGGCTACTCCCCAGAGGGCTCTCCCGAGATGGACATGTCCAGGAGCACTGTATAGAGCGGGAGAACTTTGCTATAGGTTGTTTTGGACCATTCTATGGAATTCTTCTCCTGCTACAGGGTGGGTTAAATAACCTAGAGACGATATCTCGTTCTTTATTGCATTCTGTAGGTGTTAGAGCAATGTCTGTGGAGCCTGTTAAATTCTTTTACCCAATGGCAATTTCCTGCAGGTTGTTCTTCTCACCACTAATCATTGAGTGAGAGTCTGTTCCCCCACACTCTATTGGCCTGCGTTTCCTAGCAGGACCAGAGCTGTGGGAGTGGGACATCCCAATAGGTACGGTAACATGCTTTTGATCGAATAGGTGCCAATTCAAGGACACAGTCATTATCTACACCGTCTCCCACAATGCACATATGGGAGGACTGTGTAGCCCACAGAACAATCCATATGTTCTACTACATGGACTCCTGCTGTAACATAGCCTGTCACAGACACTGTCTCACATGCCTGCCACAGAAGCCATCTTGAGTGTAGACACACACACACACACACACACACACACACACACACACACACACACACACACACACACACACACCAACCATGGCCCTGAAACAGGAACCGTCCAATACACATGGCCTGGCTCCATCAGAGACATTGACCAAGATCCCCTGGTCTGCTCCGGGGACTTTATGCATCCTAGTGATGACAAGCAGCCGCATGGATCTGGCCGAATGTCTGACCTGTGTCACAGCCAAGACACCATCGCACATTCACACCAGCTCTGGCCCAGTGCTGTGTTTCGTATGGAGCATGTATAAACAGGGGTAATTTAGCATAATTTTCCCCTTGACTACATCTAAAATAAATGTGACTCATCGCCACAGGTAATTAACATTTCTTTACAACATTAAATTCTAAATGATTACAACTCCTGCTCAATGAAAATTTGTCATGCTTTGTGTTCCCATTTTTCGTGGCCAGCTGTCTCTCCAGAGCTGATAAATGGGAGTAGCATGCAGTGACAAATTGGCTCTGACTTCACCACCCCTAATTTGGGGGATCAGCTCCGGCTCCTTGGTCAGAAAGCACAAATCCAGAAGATGAGCAACCTCACTAACGCTGCCCGCATGAGCCCTGCCAGCTCAGGACATGAGTGAGTGCATCTCCCACAGCTGGGGAGTGGAGCTGGGAGGAAGGTGCATATGGCCCTCTGCACTGTGCAAACAGGCACAGAGAGGTGAAGGCCAAAGGCCAGATATAGGTGCCTGGAGCAGCATGGCCAGGCCCCAATGTTCAGAAATCATGAGTCAAAATCCACAGGATTGGCTCAAGACTCACAAGAGTTCCAAAGAGAAGAATTGTTGGTGCTTTGCCTTCTGGGGATGGGGGGGGCGGCGTGCACAGGTCATGCTTTCCGGCTTCTCCCTACCACCAGGAGGGCTGGAAACGTTCTTTTGTGACATGAAAGCTCAGTTTCTCATGCACTGCCATGTTTTAAGGAAAACAACAGATGTCACCAGACTCACGATGAGATTGCCAGAGTTGGCAACGTTGCCCAAGCCAAGCCCCGCAGGCATGTAACTGATGTGCCTCAAGCCTGGCTCTGTGGATGAGGGGAAAGCAGTGGATGTGATATATCTTGACTTTAGCAAGCTTTTGATACGGTCTCCCACAGTATTCTTGCCAGCAAGTTAAAGAAGTATGGATTGGATGCATGGACTATAAGGTGGATTGAAAGCTGGCTAGATTGTTGGGCTCAATGGGTAGTGATCAACGGCTCGAGGTCTAGTTGGCAGCCGGTATCATGCGGAGTGTTCCAGGGGTTGGTCCTGGGACTGGTTTTGTTCAACATCTTTATCAATGATCTGGATGATGGGATGGATTGCACCCTCAGCAAGTTCGCAGATGACTCTAAACTGGGGGGAGAGGTAGATACGCTGTAGGGTAGAGGTAGGGTCCACAGTGACCTAGACAAATTGGAGGATTGGATAAAAGAAATCTGAGGTTCAACAAGGACAAGTGCAGAGTCCTGCGCTCAGGATGGAAGAATCCCATGCACTGCTACAGGCTGGAGACCGACTGTCTAAGCAGCAGTTCTGCAGAAGAGGACCTGGGGATTACAGTGGATGAGAAGCTGGATATGAGTCAACAGTGTGTCCTTCTTGCCAAGACGGCTAATGGGACATTGTGATGAAGTGGGGCTGTTCTTAATGTTTCCTCTGAATATTGTGTGGGTGCCTCGGTTTCCCCTATGCATTTCTTAAGTTTCTAGGGAGTGAGATTGTTGCAGAGCAAAGGGCCAGTGTGCATAAATGGCTGGCACTCTGCCTCCTGGCAGCTAATGGCTGGGGCCCGTCCCCCGTGCAAGATGATAGCTAAAGGTGTTGGAGAACAACGAGATCAGGTGACCTCCTGGCCCCGGGAAAGGAACAAAGCAGAGGAGGAGGGGCTGGAGTGGGTTTTCAGTTTGGAGCTGGCTGGGAAATGGAGGGGAGCCCAGACAGGGCTCTGGCCTCCCTGGGGTCCCCCAAGATGGACCTGACTGGGGGGATCCCGTTGTCTGTACCGGCAAGAGCTGTTTTGGACTGTGTTCCTGTCGTCTAAATAAACCTTCTGTTTTACTGCCTGGCTGAGAGTCACGGTGAATTGCAGGAAGCTACAGGTGCAGGGCCTTGTCTCCCCCACACTCCGTGACAGACATATTGGGCTGCATTAGTAGGGGCATTGCCAGCAGATCGAGGGAAGTGATTATTCCCCTCTAGTTGGCACTGGCGAGACCACTCCTGGAGTACTGTGTCCAGTTTTGTTCCCCACACTACAGAAAGGATGTGGACAAATTGGAGAGAGTCCAGTGGAGGGCAACGAAAATGATTCAGGGGCTGGGGCACATGACTTACGATGAGAGGCTGAGGGAACTGGGCTTATTTAGTCTGCAGAAGAGAAGAATGGGGCGGGGGGGAATTTGATAGCTTCTTTCAACTACCTGAAGGGGGGTTCCAAAGAGGATGGAGCTCGGCTGTTCTCAGTGGTGGCAGATGACAGAACAAGGAGCAACGGTCTCAAGTTTCAGTGGGGGAGGTCTAGGTTGGATATTAGGAAACACTTTTTCACGAGGAGGGTGGTGAAGCACTGGAATGGGTTCCCTAGGGAGGTGGTGGAATCTCCTTCCTTATTGGTTTTTAAGGCCCGGCTTGACAAAGCCTTGGCAGGGATGATTTAGTTGGTGTTGGTCCTGCTTTGAGGGGGGGGTTGGACTAGATACCTCCTGAGGTCTCTTCCAACCCTAATCTTCTATGATTGATTCTAAGCCGGGCACCCAAAAATGAAGGCATTCAAATTAGGGTCTGAGTAACTTGCTTCGGGTCACACGGGGTATCTGGCGGAGCTGGGATAAGACCCTAATTCTCCCAGCCAGAGCTCTCAGCGTGGTACCTGGCAGGCTTCATAGCACATTGAAGCTCAGTCAGGCTCGCTGTCCCATACTCGTCAGGGTGGGGAGCAGCAGCTGAGGCAGGGCGGGGTATGGTGGCGGGGGAGGGAGAAGACCCTTCTCCGGCAGCTTTGAGCCCCTGTTGCCATCTTCATGTTTCTAAGGAGTTGCTCAGGAGAAGCTGACCGTAGCTTTGGGAAGAGGGAGAGCTGCTGGAAGGACACGCTTTGCAGAAGGAGGGAAGGGACTAGAACTGGCCCATAGCTACTGTGCTCTTCTGCTCCCTCCTTCCCTCTCCCCACCTCACCTGTTACCCCAAAACTACTGTCAGCTTCTCCTGGGCAATTCTGCTCCTTCCCACACAGGCTTGTCTGCCCTTGGTGAGGAGGAGAAGCCAAAGCTCCCAGCTGTCCCTCCGCCTTGCCTTGCAGTGCCAACACAGCCCAGGGCATACAACTCAGCTGCATCCCGCTGAAAATATTGTTCTGCATTTAATCAACAAGGATTGGCCAATCTCCATTGCCAGGGGTAGCAGCCTGCCTAGCACTTGGAGGGAGGAGCCCAGGTTGCAGCAGGAGGGCAGAGTTTGGAGGAGGCCCCAGGAAGGCAGTCTGTGTGCACATGGCTGGAATGTCAGCTGCATTGGTTGCACTGCTGGAAATAGTTCTCTTCGGAGTTTAATTTTGTTTTACGAGCATGGAGGCCTCTCATATTATTACCCAGCATGTGGTACATGAACCATATGGGGAGGCCTGTGGGGGTGCTATGGTGAGGAGTAGTGGAGTCCTGGACAGGCCATGCCTCCTCCTCTAGCAGGGAATTAATTCCCTGCCCTCAACTTGCCTGGGTGTCTCGCCTACTTTGTGCTGCTGCTCGGCCCACTCCCCTGCCTCATGCTGGGAAGCAGCAGCTGGTGGACGGCACTAGGAGGCCACTGTAGCCAGCGGCAGGGCAGAGCCAGTCCGGAGCCTGGGTCAGTTTCATGCAGAGGCACGTGGGGACTCAGAAGCCCCCGCCTCTGGGCTCTCCAGGGCTTCTAGAAGGGACAGGGAAGAGCTAGCGAGCTGGGAGGTCCCTTTGGAGGGGCAGGAGTGGAGCTTTCTCACAGAGCAAGTCTCTTTCCCGTAGGGACATTGAGCTCCCTGTCTAGATATGGGATTTACCAAGCCAGTGGCTGAGTCTGCGCTGGGTGCTGCCTTCTGACTGCTTCCTTTCCCCCTCTCCTCTAGCCTGCGAGTTGGGATTTTACAAGTCAGCCCCTGGTGACCAGCTGTGTGCAAAGTGCCCCCTGCACAGCTACTCAGAGAGCCGGGCTGCACAGGTGTGCCGCTGTGACAGCAGCTACTACCGGGCAGCACAAGATCCCCCGTCTGCTGCCTGCACGCGTAAGTACCTGCCCATCTGCCTCGGACTGCCCACCCCCTTTCCACAGCACGCAGGGAACAGAACACGAATCAGGCTGGCTATAGCAGCAGAGGGAGATTCCCATGCAAGTGGGAAGGGCTAGAAGGTCGGTGAGGGAGTATCTGTCTGTGGGACAAGAGGGACCTCGGCACTACAGGGGTGAATGTGTTAGAAACGTTGGGCTGGAGTCCTGGCCCCACTGCAGTCAGTGGGAGATTTGCCATGCTCTGTGCGTGTCTGGGACGAGAACTGTGAGTGTACCTCAGGGGTGTTTGTGTTGTCCTGGAGGCATGTCTGCATTAGGATAAAGGTGTGCGTTTCCGTCAGTATAGCTCACATGTCAAAGCTACAATGTGCCTTGACTTCACAAGGATTTTAAAGCATGTAAGCTGTCATGTTTTAAACCCGTCTTTTTCTTAGTGTAGATGGGGCCTGTCTCTCTGCATGTGAATGCCATGGATTCATAGATACATAGATTCCCAGGCTAGAAAGGACCATTGTGCTCATCTAGTCTGATCTCTTGTGTAACACAAACCAGAGAATTTCCCCCAAGGTCATTCCTAGAGCAGATCTTTTAGGGAAAAAAACCCAATCTTCGTTTAAAAGTTATCAGGGATGGAGAATACACTGCGACCTTTGGTAAGCTGTTCCAATGCTTAATTACTCTCACTATTAAAAATTTACACCTTTTTTCCATTCTGATTTTGTCTAGAGTTAACTTCCAGCCATTGGATCGTGTTAGACCTTTCTCAGATAGACTGAAGAGCCCATTATTAAATATTTATTCCCCATGTAATTACTTATAGACTGTTATCAAGTCACCCCTTAATGTTCTCTTTGTTAAGCTAAAGAGAGTGAGCTCTTGGAGTCTATCACTGTCAGGCAGGTTTTCTAATCCTCCAATCATTCTTGTGGCTCTTTGAATCTTCTCCAATGTATCAACATCCTCCTTGAATTGTGGGCATCAGAACTGGACACAGGATTCCTGCAGCGGTCATGCCAATGCCAAATAAAGGGTAAAATAACCTCTCTGCTCCTACTCGAGATTCCCCTGTTTATGCATCCCAGAATCGCATTAGCCTTTTTGGCCACAGAGTGACACTGGAAGCTTGTGTTCAGCTGATTATCCATCATGACCCTCAAATATTTTTCAGAGTCCCCCACCCTGCCGTATGGCCTGCAGTCTGTGTTCATAGAGCTATACATTCACATTTAATTATGTTCAAATACATGTTGTTTGCTTGCATCCAGCTTACCAAGGGATCCAGATCGCTCCGTATTGGTGACCTGTCTTCATAATTATTTCCTACTCTCCCATTTTTTGCGTCATCTGCAAACTTTATCGGTGATGATTCTGTTTTGTTCCAGGTCACTGATAAAAATGTTTAAATAGCATAGGGCCAAAAACAGATCCTTGCGGGATTCCACTAGTAAAACACCCACTCAGCGATGATTCCCCATTTACAATTACATTTTGAGAACTATCAGTTAGCCAGCTTTTAATCCATTTAACGTGTGCCATGTTAGTTTTTTAATCAAAGCATTATGCAATACCAGGTCAAACATCTTATAGAAGTCTAAATATATTACATCAACACTATTACCTTTATAAACCAAATTTGTAATCTTTTTTAAAAAAAGAGATCAAGTTAATTTGACAGGATCTATTTCCATAAACTTATGTTGATCAGCATTAATCATATTACCCTCCTTTAGTTCTTTATTAATTGAGTCTTGTTTCAGATGCTCCATTATCTTACCTGGAATTGATGTCAGGCTGACAGGCCTATAATTACCTAGGACATCCCATTCACCCTTTTAAAATATTGGTACAACATTAGCTTTCTGCCAGTCTTGTATAACTTTCCTGGTGTTCAAAGACTTACAAAAAATCAACATGATTGGTCCACCCAGCTCCTCAGCCAGCTCTTTTAAAACTCTTGGTTGCCAGTTTTCCGGACCTGCTGCTTTAAAACGGTCTAATGTTAGTAGCTGCTGTTCAACATCCTTCTGAAACACTAGTGAAATTGAAAGAATGTTATCATATGATATGACTACAGCATCTGTTTTATTCCAAATACAGCAAAGAAATATTTATTGAATGTTTCTGTCTTTTCTCCATTATTATTGATCATTCTACCATTTCCATCTAGTAACGTACCAATACCTTTGTTCGGATTCTTTTTGTTCCTAATATACTTTAAAACACTTTCCTGTTTCATTTTCCCTGACTCGTACCCTAAAGTGTTTGCTTTTGTCTCCATTCGCGTCAGGATAAGAAGTGCTTTCCCACGCAGCTCATCCTGTCCTCTGCAGTTCCGGTGCTGTGCAGGGAAGGGTTGGATGTGATCAGGAGTCGCTGAAATGTCGCTGTGGAATGCAGGCGGTTTTCATTCCGATTCTGCATGTGACATATCAGCGAACAGCACCCACTGCAGCAGCAGTCACATCAAACCCACTGCATGGCAGGACAGGCTCCCCCAGAGAGGCAGCCGGATTGCTGAGTGGCCTTGGTCAGTCTGTGACAGCTTGGTGCTCAGACTGATCAAATGGGTGCAAGCCAGGCCTGGGGCCGGCTGATGATGGGCAAACGCCCCACACTGCTTTGCCAGCACATCTTCATCTGCAACCTGTGCCATGGGATGAAGTGATCCCTTGGGCTCTCCCAAGCTAAGCAACGTGAGGCTTGTCCAACCCGTGGCTGGGAAGCCATTCTAGTGGCAGCAGAGAATGGTGTGAGTTACTGAGTAGGGGGTGTGCTCTCCCCTCAACTAGGGTCTGGCGTGGGAGTGCTGTGGTGGAGGGTGGGTGACAGATTCTCTCCTCTGTGTCAGTGCTGACCCTGGTGTTCCAACATGCTGCCAGGGGCTCCTGGATGGGAGGGAAAACAGAGGTTCTGCCCGAGACGTCTTGGCGTCCCCCTAAACCAGTGAAGGGTCTGTGAGCGCCTTCCTTGTAACAAACCAAATTAAGCTATTTAAGGATGCATCCCAGAGACACCAGGAAACATCAGTGCACAGTGAAGAAACCCCTGAGCATCAGAAGAAGAAGATAAAGTGTGATATAAATAACAGACTGTATATGGATAACTGAGTGTGCAATCGACTACAGACACGTTATAAGGACGGATCACTAGTCGGGCCAGGTCTAACTGTTATTTAAATTGTATATTATTAAGCAAAGTGAGTTCATGCATACACCTATAGTTTTAATTCTTTCTCAGTGAAATATGGTTAAATTTGGTTATTGTGTAAAAGCGAATATATCACTTCTGTATACTATTTTAATTAACATAATAGTACCTTATCAGGAATGCACAAAACTCGAGGGCTGGGCAAAAGACTATTCCATAGTCTGGTATCTTTCAAAACAGTAGATTCCAAAATCTAGATGGAATTATTGGTTACATTTCAAGATTTTCTGAATCTGAATATCTATTTGATTTGCAATGTGCATACATTGCTGAACTGTTTAATCAGACACAAAGCAAGTTAACAAACTAATTGCAGCAAGTGATAAAGGCAAGGAAAAACCAGACTGGTAAAGACATTATTTTTACTGCTTATGGGAGTTACATGGTAACTACCACAACCAACTCATTAGGAAACATTGAAGAAGGAAAATTGCCTGACCTTGTTAGTGATGAACAGCGAACTAGTATGGCCCTCAGCGTATAGTAAAAGCTGTGGCTAACCGGCAGTGCGTTGAGTCGTGTGGACAAATTCCCTTTCAGTACCAGGCATAATTCGGGTTGAGTGACACAGTATCTTAATGGAGATAATGTGTTGTTAAAACAATCTTGCTCAGTGCCTGGTTCCATGTACATTTCTTCAATAGTTTCACTACCAGTATTGGAGCCTGGCACAGGAATATTTAATAAATTGGTTACTGATCATTCAGTAGGTTGTCTGGAAGACAGCGTCTACAAGAAACAATTGGCTCTCCGTCAACTAGCAGTGTATCACGTAGCAGTGCAAACCTGAAAAGCACCTCAGACAGCTTTCAGTGGTAGTTGTGTTAGTCTGTATCAGCAAAAAAAAGAGTCCTTGGGGCACCTTAGAGACTAACAAATTTATTTGGGCATAAGCTTTCATGGGCTAAAACCCACTGCATCAGATGCATGAAGTAAAAAACACAGGAACAGGTATAAATACATGAAAGGATGGGGGTTGCTTTACCAAGTGTGAGGTCAGGCTAACGAGAGAAATCAATTAACAGCAGGATACCAAGGGAGGAAAAATAACTTTTGAAGTGGTAAGAGAGTGGCCCATTACAGACGGTTGACAAGAAGGTGGGAGTAACAGTAGGGAGAAATTAGTATGGGGGAAATTAAGTTTAGGTTTTGTAATGACCCAACCACTCCCAGTCTTTATTCAGGCCTAATCTGATGCCACAAGGACGCCTCATTTCTTTTGCTCACACAGCTTGTTATGCCAAGGATGCTTTTGACATTTCTACTCATGTGTGTGGTCACAATGGTTCAGCCCAGTAGGAGACAGAGAAGCTGGCCACTACTGTCTCCTGCTCAGGAAGGCTTCCCAGCAGTTGCTAACCAGCAGGAAGGATAACCTATAACATGGGTGGACAGTACTGTGTAGTAACTAATTACAAGAAGTTTGTATATGGAGGCCTCACTTGTAAAGTCACCACTCCACATTTCTGTTTTATCCCTCATGTACCTAGCACTGTGGGACACACTATAATAATGTCTATCCCAGTTTTCAAAATGAATCTATTATCCAAAGTGAGCACCAATGAAGTTAAAACTTACCTACCAGTTTTAATGTGCATATTAATCACTTTAAATTTAAAAACATTACTAGACAGAACCACACATTCAGATTAGCAGTGACATGCACAAGGTAGAACAAGCCTTGAAAAACCTTATTCATGATGGGGATCTTAAAATACTGATTTCCCACACCTGGATAGCAGTTGCATTTAAGGCTTTGCTTGTGTTACATGGTGTCTTACTTTTAGCTGTGATAATTATCTATTGCCACTTATGGAGTTTGTTAAAACACTTTAAATCACATATAAAGGCCCTCACCCCTAATTCATACATTCATTTGGAAAAGCTGTCGCCTTGACAATAACAATGATCAAGGCAACAAGTGGGGGCCCTGCTAAATAATATATGCTGGCTAGCATATACATCGTATTAATAAAATGTTTTATCTGCACTATACATATATGTATATTAGTATGCACTGAGCAATAACATTAAGCACAAATATTGTAACAGCGATATAGCCCAAACCAACCTATACAGTAATCCTGTTCACATAGGCTAAGTATCCCATAACTCCTTGCATTTGCTGAAGTAAGCATTTGGCATAAACGGGTAGGAAACTTGTCAAAATCCAGAAACATCAATTTGTTCTATTTAGTACCAGCTAGGGAAGTATCTTCACGGACCAGTACCTGGAATGCTAGTACACAAAACAAAGCTAAGGGAGGAACAGAATAGCAAGTTAGGGAAGTGGGACAAACTGCTGGCTTAAACTGTAGTGACATGTCACTTGTAAAATCATCATATAACTAATACCAGCTGCGATGTGTGACTTGGGGAGTGCACCTTCTGCGTGAGGTGAATGTACCATCGCTGCACGAGGCTGCTCTTTGGAGACTGGTATTGTATAGAACCTTTTCCTGTACCAGATTAATAAACCGGACACATTGGTCATTTAGTCTCTTGAGTATACTTCATAACACACCAAAGTGTGGTCAAGTAATTGACTCTGCAATTTATCAACAATCCTATTCTAGTCAGGTTCTCACACTGCATGGCACCCTCAGATCAGCCTGTATCTGGTTGTGTTATTTCCTTCCCTCCCCGCCCCCCCCCGCCACACACCCCCAGGGCATGGCACCCTCAGATCAGCCTGTATCTGGTTGTGTTATTTCCTTCCCCCCACCACCACACTGCCCCAGGGCATGGCACCCTCGGATCAGCCTGTATCTGGTTGTGTTATTTCCTCTCCTCCCCACCCCGTCACACACACCCAGGGCCTGGCACCCTCAGATCAGCCTGTATCTAGGTTGTGTTATTTCCTTCCCCACACACACAGTCAGGGCATGTCAGTCACTCTCTAGTCAGCCAGTATCACTCTGTTCTCTCCCATGGATCACATCACCTTCCCATGGGCCTTTCCCCCCCCCCGCCGAGCACAGCACCCCACCAATCTGGATGAATCTCTGCTTCCTTTCCAGGGCCCCCCTCTGCTCCTGTGAACCTGGTCTCCAGTGTGAATGGCACCTCGGTGACACTGGAGTGGGCTCCACCCCTGGACAAGGGGGGGCGCACTGATATCACGTACAACGTGGTCTGCAGGCGCTGCACGTGGGACCTGGGCCAGTGCGAGGCATGCGGCGGTGGGATCCGCTTTGTTCCCCAGCAGATGAGCCTGGGGCAGGCTGCCCTCACCGTGGCCAACCTCATGGCCCACATGAACTACTCCTTCTGGGTGGAAGCTGTCAACGGCGTGTCCAACCTCAGCCTGGAGCCCAAGAGATTTGCCGTTGTCAACATCACCACGAACCAGGCAGGTAGGAGGAGCAGATACCCCCAGGAGGCTCGGCCCACGGCAACTGATGTGAACAGCTCCCCACTGGGCCCAGCTGGACCTTCTAAAGGCCCCCCGAGGAATCTGAGTCCGCCCTGGCTTTCCTTATGCTCAGAAGGAGAATTAGCCGCAGTCACTGTGTGTGGGGCCTGTGACAAATGCTGGCTTGCCATGGTGACCATGGTAGCTCCCAAATAGGCATCTGTGAGAAATGGCCCTTGTCTCCTCAGCTGGCGTGGCAGCGGCGCTGGGGAGACGGGGCTGTCTGGGGCTCACTGCTGAGCCGCCGTCTGCAGACGCACGCTTTGAGCGAGCGAGGAATTAATCTTCTTCGGTTCGCTTTCAGCCCGTCACATTCCGCTTCGTCGCCACCTCCCCAACACCCTGGCCGTTCAGCTGTGGCCTCACGCTGGGCTGCTCCAGTTCCACAGGAGGCCGGGGCGCACCGGACATTTGTTTATTGACAAGGAACACTAAGTGGAGCATGAACTCCTAGGTCTGCTCCTCGCCTCCCTTCCCAAAGGGCCACGCAAAAGTTCATGCTCCGTCTAGTGCTCCTTTCCCATCTCACACAAGGGCCAGCACCTGGCAGGTGCCTGTGTTGTTTGCTTGGGAAAGTCTCTTTCAGGCATATCTTGTCTTTTCCAATCCCTTGCTGAGAAACAGCCTCTTTCCCCAGGAAGCAGTTCCCCACTTCGGCCCAGAGCAGGACCTTGGGGCCCCTCTCCAGTGCAGGGATCGGCTCTTGGAGCGTTACATGATGAGGCGCCTCAGGGCTTGCCTACGCTCACAGCACTGCTGAAGTGCTTGGTGGAGACGCTCCCTATGCCGACAGAGAGCTCCCATCCGCACAGATACTCCACCTCCCCCAGAGAAACCCTCCCATCTACACAGCCCCAGGGCTAGATCGGTACAACTACGTCGTTCTGAGCTCCACACCTCCGACCGACGTAGTTATACTGATGTAAGTCGGTAGGGTAAACCAGGGCTCATTCTGCTCTTGTGTACAAGTGTCAGCCGGGAATAACTCCAGAGAAATCAAGGGAGATGCCTGGGTCAGCTCATAATAAGGAAGAGAGGAACAAGGCTTTTTATTGCAAACTGTCTCCTGCAGCTGCCCAGGCTCCCAACTGACACCCCCCCCCCCCCCACGAGGACATCCCCCCCTTCCCCTGCTCCTCCTGCCGGCCCCGCCCCAGCGTTATCACACCGATGCTAAGGGGACGGGCACTAAATGCCTGCAATGGCTGGCTGCATAGACAGATATTGAACGCTCCCTAGTTAGCTTTTCTCGTAGAACAGGTGCAGCTGGGAGCAGCAGAAGCAGGCCGGTTGGAAAGAACAGCGGTTTAGCCGTGTGGCTGGAGGTGTTTAAAGGGATGCTGCAATGTAAAAGAGGCACCAACCTGCAAAGCAGAGAGACGTGGTCAGTGCGATAGTCAGTGGTCGTTCTCAGTCATCCCGACAGCTCCATCACTCAGAGCACCACTCCGGAGAGGGGCCAGATGGGGACTGCCAGATAGACCATACTCTCTGGACTGACTAAGCCCAGTCAATCAATCTTTACTGAGCTCTCCGGGGAATCTCACCAATCCCTGGAGTTCAGGAGCGCCAGGGATTGCTGTGAAGTGCGGAGCCTCAGTGCTCTGCCCGTGGGGATTGCCTTGACAACTATTCCCTTCTGTTGTGTCCAGCAGGGCTTCCTGGGGCTGGGCCACCTTCCCCATGGCCTCTGTCTTCACTAGGGATTCTGACCTCGCATCGCTTCCAGTTAGTTAATATGGTCACACGGGCCAGTCTGGACGCTCCCTGAATGTTCCCCAAGGCCTGTCTACACATAGTTTCTGTGCTGCTTTAACGATACTGTGATCTAACCCAATCCAGTGGTAGCGGTTCAAAAGCTGGGAGTTGGGCAGCTCATAGGCTGATCCCTGGGGTCAACCTTATGGCCAGGAAGAGACATGTGGGGAGTGTCCCCAGGAGCTTTGACAAAGACATTAGCTGCACAGACTCGTTCTTTGTGTGTGCATTAGAGCGAGAGGCACCAGGCAGCCCAGTCGAAACGTGCGCTTTACTGCAGCACAGCAGAGTGTGGCTAGTTGAGGCCCCACCAGGGATTGACCTCCATGAGCTACAGTGCGGTAAAAACGACAGTGGGAATAGCGCAGCCAGTGCTACCTGGAGTTACCATTTCAGCACCCAAACGCCACAGGCCCCATCCACGCCTGTATTCTGCCTCCAGCAGGGGCTGCAAGTTGAGGCTTTAGAAAATGGCAAGACCCTTTCCCTGTAATGAACCAGCCAATTGGGCAATGCTATAGGTGGGTGAACTATCCCTTCCTGGCCCCCGCTCGGCGCCTGCATAGTTACAATGTTAATGCCGATCGTCATGCAGTTCTCTGGCCTTTTATCTGTCTGCTGAAAGCCTGGGGCCGGGAAGCCCACCGGCAGATCCAGGCAGGGTGAGGAGGTTTCCCTTTGTTTGATCTCAGTTCGCCAGCCTTTGCAGTGATGCCATGGGACAGTGCTTCCCGGGGGCACAGGCCATAAGGCGGCCAGGCCTCTTGGGTAACCAGTGTTATGATGCATCCTGGTCCATAGCTAAACCACTAATGCAGCTGCACTGAGAGAGGGTGTGTGTGTGTGTGTGTGTGTGTGTGTGTGTGTGTAATGTTACTGCTCACCCCCCACCACCTGTAAAACTGGAATATTCCATTATGACTACCGATCCTCCCACCTGGCACACCAATAGGGCATTCCATTATTGCTGCCCCGAAAAATGGAATATTCTATTGCTATCTACCCAACAAAACAATGGGGTCCATTATTGTTGCCCCCCCCCCCATCAACTGAAAAAATGGAATATCCCATTCTCGCTCTTCCACCCACCCAGCGTAACAAGGGTCGTACATTATCATTGTCCCCATGCACCCACCGTAACACATCGTCTCTGGATCGAGCCCCTCCTCGGGAAGAGAATTTCGGTGAGCAGGGGCCCCTGTAATCTAGCCGGCAAAGGCACAGCAAGGTCCGGTGTCTGGAAGCTGAAGCTAGATACATTCAACGTGGAAATGGGTTAATTAAGCCCTGGAACAGCTTGCCTAGGGATGTGGTGGATTCTCTGTCATTTGGGGTCTTTAAATCGAGAGTGAACATCTCTTATCTCAGTGCTCTGGGCTGGATGAAGGAGCTCTAGGTGGGGGTCTCTGGCCTGGGCTATGCAGGTCAGCCTGGATGATCAGAATGGTCCATCCACCCACAATGACAGTGGAGTCTTTCATTGGTGCGCGCTCCCTCTGTGACAGTGGCATGTTCCATTGTGCCTCCCGGCATCCATCCACAACGATGGAGTGAAAAGATCGGCAGCAGCAGTGAGTGTGCCCGGGGCCCGAGGGTGCCAGCTGTGCCGGTGGGGGGCTCTTCCTGCCACTAGCACATAGCCTGGCCTGGCCGATGATTAGCTAGACAGACTTGAAAAGGAAATCAATCACTCTGAGCCCAGCTGGGCTCGTCTGCGCTCTGGTGCCATGGCCTGGGCTGGCAAGGGTGTAACCGGGGCCCCATTGACCAGAACGGTTTGTGAATCTGCTCTACCAAAACAGAGAGAGCAGTGCCCACGAGGTTGCTGCCCCTCCTCGCTAGGGAGCAGAATGGAGTTCTGGGACAGATTGTGGGGGAGTCTGACGAGTCAGTGCTGTGCCGGGGCCCCGGGCAACTGGACAGCAAGGCCCTGTCCTCTGAGCGTTTGCCTAGGGACCCCAAGCTTGGGGCAACGGCTGGCCTCTGAACAGGCTCCGGAAGTGCCCGAGATCCAGGGATTCCCAGTCTGCAGCATGGCTCGCTCTCTCACTGGAGACAAGTCCAGTTTCTGATGTTCTGTCATCTGATGTTCTCAGCCCCATCCCAGGTGGTGGTTCTTCGCCAGGAGAACACGGGTCAGAACAGCGTCACGCTGCTGTGGCATGAGCCGGACCAACCCAACGGCATCATCCTGGAGTATGAGGTCAAGTACTACGAGAAGGTAACAGTGATCTGCTGGCCCAGCCCCCGCAGCCTGGCCAGGGTGCATTAAGCCAGGGTTATAGCTTAGGCATGATGTAATTACTGTTACCAGCCAGACACATCGAGAGGGTTACTGCCAGGCTCTCCCCAGTCCCTGCGCTGTCTCAGTGAGATCTTTGCCTTGCTCTCCAACAGGACAAGGAAATGCAGAGTTACTCCACGCTAAAATCCAAAGGCACAAGTGCGACTGTCTCTGGGCTCAAGCCTGCAACCCGCTACATCTTCCAGGTTCGGGCCCGGACCTCTGCTGGCTGTGGGAGGTTCAGCCAGATGGTGGAGGTGGAGACCGGGAAAGCAAGTGAGTGCACGAGAGGAAGAGGATGGGGAGAGAGCGATCGTGTGTGCATGGGCACGAGGGTTAACGTGCAGCACCCAGACGCACAGCACTTGGTCAGTGGGCTGTTTGTCTTGGACTTCAGCCGGAGCGGGATCCGCTGCACAGTCAGTGGGAGGCTGAAGGGAGAGGAGTAAGCGAACGGGGAGGTGAGGCAGAGTCAGAAGGGAGCGGTGGTTCTGCTGTCCTGGAATCCAGGCTGGGAGTGCCAGGCACTGATGTTGGTGCAGCAGCTGGCATCTGGGTGGAGGGGTTTGCTTGAGGGATTATGAGCAGCTGAAAATGGATAATGGCACATGATAGTGTAAGCGGGTGTGAGATGGGGAGGGAAAGCTGGGGGTGGGGGAGGTTTGAAATCTTGGGCCTGGGACACTACACTGCAGACTAGGAGAAGGGCAGAAGAGACCTCATTCGGTCTGCCTTCCCTGCAGAGCTAGCCCACCATTTGCACACAAACCCCTCTGACCTTCAGGTGGCCACTGACACGTCCCCAGAATAGAGGACTTCCCCCCATCCACCGCCTGCATCCCCCTGCCCTTCTGCGTGGGCCCACCCCTGGCTGCATCCCTCTGCACGGAGATGCCGCCTCCACCCCTGTTCCCACCAGTGTCCTCCTGCATCCAGTTTCCTCCTCTCTCTTCTCGTTTTCCCTGGACAAAGGCATGTGTGGTGCTGCGTCCCTCCCGGACAGGGCCACTGCTCCACAAAACGAGGACTGTCTGGGTTCAAATGGGACGAGTGGCCTCCCGAAGTGGGATTGCTCTTTGCAGTGAGGATGCAGGTGAAATCACTGCGGCGTGACAGTCCTCCAGGGCATTCCCACAATCCTGCCGTGTGCCCAGAAGGACAGACAGGTTCTCCCATAATGCACTGGGAAAGACTCGCAGAGTGTCCCAACTGACTGCAGCAAAGAACCACGGACAGGCCCCCAGAAATCCTAGCGACCCAGTGAGGACATGGGAACCCAGGCAGGGTTTTGAGGTGCTCGCTGCTCCCTGCAGGAATTGCCGAGTCGCTGTGGGGGGAGGAGTGACACTGCGACCGTCAGACAGAGGGACAATTCTCCCAGGGCTCCTCGCACCTTGAGAAGCGCCATTGCAATGATTAGCGCAAGGAAGTGGCAGCCAGCATTCCCGGGTTCTGCACTCACCTCTGCCATGGGTTTGCTGTGCCCAGGGGCGGCTCTAGGCACCAGCACAGCAAGTGCGTGCCTAGGGCGGCAAGCCGCGGGGGGGTGGGCCTGCTGGTCTCTGTGAGGGTGGCAGTGAGGTGGCCTTCGGCGGCATGCCTGCGGGAGGTCCACCAGTCCCGCGGTTTTGACAGCAATTCGGCGGCAGGTACGCCGAAACCGCGGGACCAGCAGATCATCCGCAGAAATGCCACGGGACCGTGGACCGCCCACAGGCATGCCGCCGAAGGCCGCCTGACTGCCGTAATTGGGGCGGCAAAAAACATAGAGCCACCCCTGGTTGTGCCACACTGGCCGGTCCAGCTCCATGCCTCGGTTTCCCCATCTGTAAGGAGGTCCCTGCACTGGGGGACAGGAAGATTAATTCCTTTCCCATCAAGATCCTCAGTGGAAGGTCTGGCGGTGGGGCAGAGTGTTATATATTACGGAATGTAGGTTTACAGGGGGTGGGTTAGTGGGTGCTCACACCAAGCACATGCGCCTTGAGTTCCCCTTCTGTGATGTTTCTCTTCCAGTAGCTCTCAGGTACGACACCATGACGATCATCTGGATCTGCCTGACCCTGATAACTGGCCTTGTAATCCTGCTGGTGGTTCTGATCTGCAAGAAGAGGTAGGAGACCCGCGGCGGTCACTGCATGCTCAACTCAAAGACACGTCCTGTTGGCTCCCCCTAGAGCTGGGGCAAGAGGCTGCGTTCGCGCCACACCTGGGGATTCTGTTCCATCTGCCTGACAGGGAGTGGAGCATCGCTGAGAGCAGGGGTGGTGGAGACAGAATGGCAGGCAGCAGGAAGCAAACCAAGGAAATGTTCTAAGACAGCATTTCTCAAATGCGGCCACTGTGGCCGCATGTGACCACCAGGGGTTTTTCTTGCGGCCACAGCCTCCTGGGCAGTGATTGGAGGGGGGAGTGGCAAAGCATTCACCCCTTCCCCAGTGCCACCAGTAGGGGTTGGGCCCTGCCCCCCTCTAGAGCCACAAACAGCAGAGGGTGAGTTCCCCCCTTTCCCAGGGGTAGTGGGGCTTGGGCTTCTGGCTTCTGCCCTAGGACATTGGGTGGCAGGCTCCGGCCATGGGGTTTCGGGTTCCAGACGCAGGGCTTTGGGCTCTGGCCCCAGGCTCGCCCCCCTCCCCATCACCCATGGCCCCCGCTGCCTTCCCCAGCCCTCCATTGCCCCTGGACCCCGCTGCCTGCCTACCCACCTGTCCATTCAGAGCTTAATTTGTCCCCTGGCTTGCCAGGGCTGAGTAAGTCTGCTGTGAAAAGCGAGATTAACAAACCTACAAATATCAGTTTTCCCAGGAGCAGACTTACTTAGCTAGCAAGTCTTAAAAACAACAACAAAAAACAGCCACCAAAAGAAACAACAACAACAAAGAGAAGAATGTACAAAGCACCTTATTTTGTTTCTATTCTGCTTAGGTCCAGTAAAGAATAGAGACAACTGTACATTATTTTTATTATTGAGTCTGAAAAAAACCCTGCATAGATAAATTACAATGATTTGGACATGGATATGTGTATATTTATTTGTTTTTCCTCAAGTTAATTAAGTATTTTAGGAAAAATTGTCAGAGCAGCCACCAGCAAGAGTTGGTGGCCGGAGTCTAAGGCCACCAAAAATGTCTTGGGAGAACCCCTGTGCTAAGAGACCAGAGTGATCCTGGGGAGAGTTAGCTCAGATAGACAAGAGCAGGGCTCCCGGTTACCTCAGGAGAAGGGGGACCTGGAGCTGATCTGCAGTAGGCCTGTTGGGAAAGCAATAGTCTGGTAGCACCTTGCTAGTACCGTGTTTTAGTGTCCGTATAAGGTGGGGGTAGTCAGTCAACAGGCAGATCATGGGCCAAATCTGGACTGCCAGGCACTTTTGAACATACCCTGAAATCTTTTCATTTATTTATTATCATTATTGGTTTGTTTATTATTTTCTCTGGAATCTGGACTGTGACTGTACCTTGGCCAAGACATTTGGACTTTGACAAAAAATAATCAACTACTGCTGGGGTAAGGGTTTTTTTTGTGGCTTCTGAATCTCAAGACCCTAAGTTGGAAGAAACTGCCTGATGATACCTTGTCACTGTTGAGCATTTTGAAATACGAGCACTTATCACAAGCCAGGTGGCAGTGAAAGCATTTTCATTGAAGTTCAAATATTTTTAATGAAAACTGCACGCTAATGTTTTGTGCTGGAGCTAGGAGGTACATAGGTGCTGTCTGTATTACAGTTGGTATTAGCTGTATACCTTTCTAGTACATGCCCTCCTCCCCTAAACTGAGACAGAAGGCATATTCTTCCTGTACTCTCTGAGCATGCTCACAACAAGTTCTTACATCTTCACTCATGTGAGTTAATTTTCAACTACTGGACAATTATAGACATCAATAAATTATAAATCAAACACTCGCCACACACCAAACACAATACAGGAGATCCACAAATGAAGTCAAATGAATAGAGAAAATGAAGTCGAGGATTGCTGCAGATGCAATTACAGAGAAGCCATAAGTAAGAAACTAGACCTGTGCATTGATCCCTTAAACGCCACTAGGCACTGTAACGAGGCGGTTCTGGTGGGACCCAACTGAGAGTGCCAATTCAGGACAAATCGCTTAAAACAGGGCAGTTACAGCCCAAGGCTGGGGGTTTTCTACCTCTAAGGCAAACCAAACCAGCCAAAGAAGACTTTGGTCTCACCCCACTGGCTAACCACAAGTTACACAAGCAATTCCCGTAGACACTCCAGTTTCCCAGTATCCCCACCAGGGCCACTCGTTATGGGGACAATGGTTATGAAAACCAATACCCCATTAAAAGAAAAAAGGTTCTCCTGATCCCAAAGGATCAAGCCCCAGACCCAGGTCAATATACAAATCAGATCTTACCCACAAATCACGCTGTTGCCAATCCTTTAGAACCTAAAATCTAAAGGTTTATTCATAAAAGGAAAAAGATATAGATGAGAGCTAGAATTGGTTAAATGGAATCAATTACATACAGTAATGGCAAAGTTCTTGGTTCAGGCTTGTAGCAGTGATGAAATAAACTGCAGGTTCAAAATCAAGTCTCTGGAATACATCCTCAGCTGGGATGGGTCACCAGTCCTTTGTGTAGAGCTTCAGTTTGTAGCAAAGTTCCTCCAGAGGTATGAAGCAGGATTGAAGACCAGATGGAAATGAGGCATCAGCCTTTTATAGTCTTTTCCAGGTGTAAGAACACCTCTTTGTTCTTACTGTGGAAAATTACAGCAAAATGGAGTCTGGAGTCACATGGGCAAGTTCCTGCAGACTTTGCTGAGTTACAAGGCGTATCTGCCTTCTCTCCATGGGTCAGTTGTATAGCTGATGGTCCTTAATGGGCCATCAAGCAGGCTAGGCAGAGCTAACACCAACTTGTCTGGGATGTCTCCCAGAAGAATCATAGAATCATAGAATATCAGAGTTGGAAGGGACCTCAAGAGGTCATCTAGTCCAATCCCCTGCTCAAAGCAGGACCAATTCCCAGCTAAATCATCCCAGCCAGGGTTTTGTCAAGCCGGGCCTTAAAAACCTCCAAGGAAGGAGACTCCACCACTTCCCTAGGTAACGCATTCCA